TTTAGATAGATTCTAATAAAATAAATCATTTTACTTGTAAATGTTCAGATCGAGTAAAGTTATTTTTTATTTTGAAATTATTTTCGTCATTAATCTATAAATTTTAGATTGATCATAATCATAAACCAAGTTATCAATATTGTCTAGATATTGTTGAACAATATCAAACATTATTTAATATAAAATGTTTTACACAAATTTCAACATCACTTATTGATTTATATTACAAATATGGAGAATTAAATAATTTTATTCGTACTATTTCAAATACACTTGGTATTAATAATAAAAATAAAAAATTATTAATTAAAACTTTAGAAAAAATAATTGAAGATTCAAAATTCAATGAAATGTTTACATTTAAAAAATTAACAAAAATAAAAGATATGAATGAGTAAGAAAATATTTTTGTTTTTTGGTTCTCTTCATCTTCTAATTGATTTATGATATAGAGCAATGAAAAAAAATCATTCTTATGATAATAATATACTTTATTATCATCAATTTATTGAAGAATTAGCTAATTTACTTGGTAATTTAGTTTCTTATTTTTTCATTTATTGATTTTCTTTTTTTACTTTCAGAAGTATCAAAAGTTGATCAAATAATTCCAACTATTAAAACACTTAAATTACTTGCACATGTTGATATTGAACAACAATCTACTAGTTATTTATCACGTATATCAGCAATGAATGTACCTAATCAGACATATTCAAATTCACTTCGAACAAACCTGTCTACTTATAATTATGAACAATCGATTGAAAAACAAAGAACTGAATAATTCACAAAAACCAAATAATAGAGAATCTTAATAGATATATCAAATATTTTGGCTTTTTTTTTTATTCTTAGTGAATGTTTTGTCATATAAAGTTTTTCAGTTTTTTATTTACGATTAGAAAAATTATATGATTCAAAACAGAAAACGAAGAAGTACTCGAATATTGTACATTGCTAATAAATCAATTATACAATTTTTCTCAGTTAACATTCAGTATTACGTTATAAAGAAAGAAGAATACTGTTAATGGAATGTTGAAACTAAAAACTCTTATATATGAATAACGTTATTAGAAGATTTACATATTCTTTTCGACAATGTCTGGTTGAAATATCGAATGAAATTCATGAAGTGATTTTTTTTAAAGGCTAGCCCTAAAGGATGTTCAGGTAGCAATCACATTTTTTTTTGGCTCGTCTCTTTCGGTTCGGATATGTTTAGTTTTCACCAATCTTCTTCCACTTCAGAACATTACTTCATAAAAATTTTCAAGAAAGAGAATAGTTAACCAAGTACACTGCGTTCTTCTATCGACGAACAGATTATTAATTCAATGCCAAAACAATGATGTGTCGAGTTGATGAAGAGCGAAAACGTAGACGTTTCCTTATCTTACAAGCATTCGTTCTTTTCTTTCAACAATCTGTAAGTTTTCTTTGTATTCGAGCAATTTTTTACTAACAAATGCTGTATTACACAGTCGGATACTGAAAAGAGTATCAATGTTCCACAAGGAAAAAACGCGAAGTACTTAAGTCATATTTTCCTTCCTCATTCTCTCTCCTCCCGAGCTAACTAATGATCTAATGAGTACTTAAAATTGGTTTCATAATACTATTTCTATTATTCTATAATGGATATAACTATATTATCACTGAAACAACGCTCTCTCTTAACTGAAAGATAAGCTGATCTCTTTACTTTTCATGGACGTTCGAAAACACTCACTAATATAATTGCTGCGAGAACTTAATATTGGCTATGCCTACATATGAGTTTGGTCACTTCGATGACCACTGAAGAAAAGAAAAAACGATATGAAATGTGTTTTCTTTTTTGTATACTAGCTGATTCTTTATATTATAACAATAATATTCTGTGACATAT